CAGCTTCCCTTTCCTCTGCCTAATTTAAATTTTATAGTTAAGTTATTTTTCCGTGCTTTTGCATCAAATCTAAAATGCAGTTGCACAGGTATAAAGAAGACAAGGTTGAGCTAATAATAGAGTGGTATGGCATTAATACTGTATGACTTTGTGGTTAGTTTGGGGTTATTCCTACCTCCTGGTCATTTGCGTGTTCCTGTCCTGAAGGGAAAACCGGAGACAATTTGTGTGGGCCTGCGATGGTTTGTCAGTGGGCCAAGTTCTTTGAAAGTATGGCTGGAGTGAGAAATAGGACATTTTTACTTTTTGATTTACAGAGGAAATTGTTCCTTCAGTTTTTTTTTTTCTTCTGCCCCCTCTTACCTTACCTTCATATATTAATATAGAAGAGATCATTATTTATCATTGTCACCACTCCACCTCTCTTTCTCCAGTGTGCCCCACTTCCTTCACTTAGATGCATCCATATGAGAGATCTTGAGTGCTTTTGTCTGTAGAGAGGTTTGCTCTGAATACTTTATCCCATTTTGGGCCCATTGCATACAACTTTGTTTGTGCCACTGTCTAGTCTAGTCACCATTGTGCACAGCAAACCTTGTGTCTATTCTTGTCATCTTTGTGTGTGCATTAAGAATAAGTAGAGCAGTAGTTAGGCTGAAGGACTGTGTAGGATTGTCTCTAGAGTGCTGCTGCTGATAATTACTGTAGAGAGTGTGTCTCGAGGGACTGCAGGCCAGCTGCCTGCTTGCCTCCCTGCCTTACTGCCATACTGTCATCCAACACTTGCAGCTTTTTTGGGTTTTTTTTCCAGGGCAACCATGCAGTACTCAGATTATTTCTCTTCCTGTCAAGATGTCAGCACTATCATGACTTTCTTGTCTGAGTGCAGGATTAGAAATGGCTGAAACCATAACTGTTTCAATGATTAGTCTGAAAGGAATTTTAAAGTAGCGATATCTTTATATGGTTCACAGTATCTGTTGTTAAGGTGGCAAATATATCTGATATATTCTGAGTTGCAGCATCTGGGGAATTGGCTAGTATAAAAGGTTTTGCAATACTGTAATTCCCATTTGACACTTTTCTTTAAGCCTTACTGTTTTCGTGTTACTCAACTTTGAAATACCAGAGTTTATGCAATAGCCTTGCATAAATATTAGCCTTACAGAATGACAGTTAACTAAAATGTTCCTGTACTTTAAGATCTGTCAGTGATCGAATGTACCGTCCTCTCTGTTTAAATATTAAAAAAAAAAAAGAAGTAGTAGTGTAGGCCGGGCAGTTAATTGATGTTTCTTTTTTAATTAAAACAAAGTAAATTGAAAATGAAATGAAAGCAATAATTAAGAAACGGTAATTGCAACACTGTGATAAAGATTATTGTGCAGCATTTCCTTTGCAGTCACGCTGTTGTGTATCCTTGTTGTAAATCCATTACACTTCTTTTACAGCGGTACATTTTGTTGCTCCCCAAAACTCAAACTTGGTGTTATATTTAAAGTTCAAGAAAATCCAGTGCAAAATTTCCATGAATTTCTTTTGTTCACTTTCATAGCATTTCTTTTGTGTCTCACCCATGTTACTGAGAGAACCAGGGTTATATTGATGACCTCAAGTTTCCAGCTTCGGCAACTAAATAAGCATCAAATAAACATGATTTAAATATTGACCTGCAAACTTTTAAATAAGACTTCAGCATTAATCAGCAGCCCTTACTTGAAGATTTTATGCCAAGGCACAGTGACCTCGTTATGGGGGTGCATGTTTGCTCAACACCATCCTACATTACTTCACTATGTGGATTTTTACATTAATTTGTCTCCCATTTTTATATTGTTATCGGCAGTAGTAAGAGCCCATCTTTGATGCAGACTATTTGTCTGTGGATCTGCGACACAGTAAAATGTGCCTCAGGTTTCTTTCCATTCTCTGGTGTTTTGCCCAAGGTAACTGTCAGTGCCTGGAGGGCCACCTCAATCCCTACCTGACTTTCTCAGTATGCAGGGGTTGTTATTTTAGGAAGTCTGGATATCTTTTTCACCCTCGCTCACCCTTTCTTTGGGTGACAGTGAAGCCTTATTAGTTTGAATTTATTTAACTTTCCTAAGTAGTTTTTCTAGACCACAACAGTGTTTCTAATAATATATGCATAAGTCAAAGATAGTTGAAGATGCCTCCTGTGGAGGAGAATAAACACTGACACTTTGGGTTTTTTATTTTCTTTTTTCAGATTAAGTGGACAAAAAGTAATTTACATGGTAACTGTTAATGAAAATAGTCACTGGTACAGACACTCAAACAATTAGTGTGCTGTTTTATGATGCTGATGTATTTGTGGATGACTCTTATCCTCTGTAAAAATGAAACCTCAAGTTACAATAATACACTGCAGACTAATACATGAAATTGTTTCATGCACAAACTTGCACTTGTGTAGTTGAGGTTGACTACACACTGGCATTACTGATGAGCATAAGAGCTTGGATACTTTGCAAGTATCTGTATACATACCATCTGACCATACTGTGATGCGTCATAGGTCACTCAGATCAAAGCATTTAGCTGTCTGGTTAATACGTGTTGGTGTGATCTGATGATGCTTCCTATTAAGGTGTTTAACCTGGCCCTGGGAAGGGTCCCATTTGCCACTTTCGTTTAAGCCCATTATAGGGTAAAAGATTGACAGATGGAGATATTCATTTAGGCAGCAGAGCTGATCCTCCTGGGGCAAACAGTTGGGTGGCAACGGAAGTGGATGTTTTAAGAGAGAGGGCCTGACAGCAGTCAAGTGAGTCGGCAAAACAGAGGAAACGTGTTTTGCAGCTTGGTTTGTTAAGGCTGTGTGAGATTTTCCGCTAAAGTGGACATAAAGGAGTGAGCGACAGGCAGAAAAAAAGAGTAAAGTTTTAAAGTCATACACGTCAGCCAAGTTTTTGGCCAATACCACACAGTACAGTTAATTTCCTGCCCTTCCTTTGAACTCCATCCACGCACTGTGAAAGAATGACATTATCAGAATGTGCTGCATTAGAGGGATATGGGTAATAGACTTGGAAGCATAAATGTGTACAGTACAAGCTGTAATAGCTAAAACATATAAATAGTGTAGTATTACAAACAGCACTGCAGAGGTGACCTGCACATGCCCCTGTTTAGTGTAGGCCAGTATATATCAGTGTGCGCTGCGCTCCAAGAAAACAACCTATTTTGGCTGTAATGAAGTCTCTCGACAGGCTCTCACAAGAGCTGGAATGGAGAAAGCATGCTAATAGTGTGCTGTGGCACAGAAAGGATTGGTTTTGGCACGAATTGTGGATTACTGGTCTTGCAGTTTTGTTTTCAGTCGAGGTCCACCGATGATTGTAGATTGAAAAGGTTTAACTTGGCTATTGCCCCTTTAAGGGACCATGTCAAGATCATTATCCTTTAATCACTAATAACCATTAAGTGCTAGTCAGGGTTACATTTTACTCCCTCTATCAGTAAATGGTTGAAAGAACATCTCTCTATTTCAATTCCCTCACTCTTGTGTGTTCCCCCTTCGTGAATGATGGAGTGACTGATGACTTTAAAAAACACACAGTGGCCTTTTCACGCCCCATGAACCACTGAATCAAATTGCAGCTTAAAAATGCGGACACAGTCCATGTGCGTGCGCTCAAGTGAACAAAAAATGGCTGCTATTGTTGCCTGTTTGGTCCCTACTGTAAGAAGCTTTCAAAAATGTCGTTTCTGCTCCTCTGTCTTTATTCCTCTTGAATTCAAGCTACATTATTCATTCACTGTGCACAGGTCTCATGCTGTTTGCAAGTGTGAGCAAGAAACATATAAACATGTTTGCTTGCTTGCAAATATTTTTACCATAATCTGAAGAGGTCCAAATAGTTAAACATGACTTAGTACGCAGAAGAACATGATTCTGTTATGGGTTTGTTTTTTGTTTTTTTAACCACAACAAAAATCCTAAGTCTGTTTATAAAAAAAGTCTATAAATAATTTGTTAGATCAGACTTATGTCATAAACTTTAGACAAAATGGCATTGTTTTTTTTGTTTTTTTTTCTTGCCATGAGTCATTGAGACATCGACAATGCTTCCTTAAGCACAGTTCCTGGTTTGTAGCATTTGACGTTGTTGCATTGATCTTTTGACAGTCTGTTACTAACAGAGTTTCAATAGTACACAAAAGCTGTGGATTATAGACTGTTTTACAGTGTCACAAGTGATCATTGTCTTCTACATTTTAGATCACTTATGTGGCCCTTATGCTCACGCAGGTGTCCCTGAATAACTAATGTATTGTCTAACAGCATCCCATCTCAGTTTAACTCGACTGAGTCAGCAATAACATATTGTGTTGCAGTCCTAATGTTATCCTGATGTAAGTTTAATCTTTACCGGGTAGACAAATAGAAATACTGAAGCATACTTTCTGTGCCGGCCGTGATTTAGTTCATAGTTCTTGTTTTTCCTTTACTTTAATGGAGTTTCTCTTCTTAATGACTCCCCAAAGACCTTTGCTGTGAAAACATTTGCATCCAGGCTCACATACAAGCCTGCTGGTGCAGAGGGAGTCTAACTCTAACACAGTCTATGTCTCACTGTCGCATTAAAAAGCCAATTTCTTTTTAATAGCAACAACAGCTGGAGCTGACAGGACCAGTGTCTTGCTGATGGAGCAAACGGCTCCTTAGCTGTCCTGCAGTTTAAGCCCAAATGCCTGCCTCATTACAGGAAAAGAGAGCGTAAGATAGTTGGAGAGGAGTGAGGAGAGGAGTAGAAGATATATCCTATACATGCTATGTGTTGTTAGACATGTTTTGGTATTGTTTAATGTAAAAAAAAAAAACACAGCAGAGTAGACAGGCTTGGTGATGTTAAGGTGAGGGAAAAAATTGCCATTGTTAGATGTGGTGGGAGCCTTTGAAATGGATACCTATTTGCACTATTAACTTTGTTTCATTTACACTTTTACTCTTTCTACCTCGAACTTTCATCTAGTGCACCTGGTTGAGTCCGAGGAGATGGCTGAATCTACAGGAGTACCAGAGCAAGAAGCTGATGCAAGAGAGTGGTGTAGCTGTCCAGCGCTTCTATGTGGCTAACACAGCTTCTGAGGCACTGGAGGCTGCAAAGAGACTCAGTAAGTAGAGGACACGCATACACAGAGACATGTGATTCACTTATGTCAGCAGCTGCAATACGTTGTTGTTTAATATTGGTTTGTACCAGTGCTCATTCGTGGATTTCACTGATACATTACTTGAAGCTGTGTGTTTAATGATTATTTGGGATTTGTCACAGTTTTTCACATTTAATGAAAAGTAGGTTTAAGGTCAGTCTCAAATAAACTGTGTTAGTCTGTGTTATAGTGGTCAGAATTGTGTTATTTCCAATTATTTTCATGCATTCTAGATTCAGCAACTGCACTAGACTGTATTGCATGTGTAGCTCTCTTTTAAACACAGATGTAGTGAGGCATAAGCTAATTCCTAATTATTCTCTTACTGTAGTTTTAATGAGTTAGTATAATGGTAAACGGTAATTGTATTGCTGTACCCAGTAAAACCTTAACGGTCCTATTTGTGCCGCATGGCTCTTTGGCCCTGCTACAGAATGTGCAAATGGCTGTGTTTGCAATTTAACAAGGGTCGAAGTTTTATCATGTTAAATTCCATCTTTGCTGTTTGCGTACGTGTGGGAGCTTGTGTTTTTGTGGTAGTGCCTGCTCAGTTTTTCATCACGGCATTCATCCATACTAATTTGTTTCGCAACCTCTCATATTAAGTTTCTCAAGCTTTTATGTTTGGGTCTGTGTGTGTTGTATAAAATTCAACTTGCTGCCTCACACAGTCATACAATGCTATGTAAGGTAATGGCCAAAATTGTGATTTTTCTTTTTCTGTTTTTGTACTTGTGGTACAAATTTTCACAGATGCATTGTAAGCACAGTGTTAAGCACACATACATATGTGTGTGAACCTACATCTGTCCTCTACCTTCCCTGTTCTACTTTCCTTTCACACACCAAATTGTCCAACACGTATAGTGTGTATTTCCACCCCCAGCTTTATATTTTATTCAGTGTCCTCTCTAGCTACAGCAGCAGCTTTCTGATAGTGCCTCCAGGTTGGTTGTCAGCCAGTGAGGTGCCACTCTTACTGCTGCCTTTGGGCTCAAGCGCCTGGGGCGCTGCTTTCAGTGGCCCTGGTTAAGATGCTGGCAAAGATAAACTGAATAGGGGGAAGAGAATATATATTTTCATGACAGTATCTAGAATATATTGCTTGGTAGGGGATGAAATGGAGAGTCAGAAAACTTGGACCGAAAAGTTTGAAGGGTGAAATGTAATTTTTCTGCACTTACATAGCTTATTTTACACATACCTGAATTTTAAGGCCATGTTTTTCTTGTTCACTCATTAACAAACACATTAAAACACAAATGGCAGCGTTCACCTGCCATCAGGAACAACTTGGGGTTCACTCTGTTGCTAGCTCTGCCATTAGTTTACATTCCACACTACCATCTAAATTACAGCACAGTGGAATGGATAGTCTAATCAAACCGTCAGACAGTCTTAAAGGCTTGTGTGCTCTCAATTCAGACAGCATTTGTCCATTGATAGTACATGCACTCACCAACCATTCACATATTCAGGTTTTCTTTGTCATGCAAATACTGAAAGGTGATTTAAGTGAGTTTCAATGTGGCATGGTTGTGAGTGCCACATTAGTTAATGGGCTGGTCTGCGTATTTCAGGAACTGCTGAACTACTGGGATTTTTCCGCACAACCATCTCTTGGATTTCATAGAGAATGATCTTTAAAAGAAGAAATATCCAGTGAGCAGCATTTCTCTGGAGAAAAATGACTTGTTCATGT